TTGCTAAGCAAAACACACACCTACCTTCAGTGCATAGGAAGGAGATAAACAATACGTCACAGACTCTAATGACTCTGGTGCTCAAGACGACCTTTAATTATTATATTTTTGTTCCTATACCTTAGTCATTAATGTAGAAAAACAAATTAGTTTATTTTTGTGGACCACAGCAGATTCATAAATTGTCTTCCACTCTTTCATGGCATCATCTTTCATTCAGATAACCCTCCCATGTCCCCTTCGTTTCCCTGCAGCTGTCTCCCTCATGTGCAGCTCTTGAATTCGTCACCTCAGGATGGAGGATTTGTTTTAAAACTGTTTAGTTTTATAGGATCTTTTCTCTGAAGGATTTAACCCTGTTTTTTGTTTGCATGTCACTTAATAAAAACCCTCGTGTCACCTTCCTAGTAACTCATACTGATCAGGGTCCCATGATGACTACCATGTTTGATAGAGGAAGTGGTTCTCGTATAGGATGAGGTCTAAGCAAGTAGGAAGAACGAGGTGTCTGAGGGGCTCATGGCTGAGTGTTCCTTGATTCTGCCTACTTATCTCACTGACATTCTCTTAACAAACAATACAGAGTCGATCACTTAGAGGTAGGTGCTTTTTTAAAAAATTCATTTTATGCTTTTTTTTTACTTTATTTTTCTGCTCACCCCTGACTCTCTCATATGTGTGTGCATACAAGCCCATGAATATAAAGAACTCTCACCAAGGAATGAAAATAGTCCACACAGTAACCCCCACACACACACCCTGGGCTCGTTGGGCTAGCTGGGCCAGGAAGTAGCCAGCCATGGAAGCATGCACAGAGAGTTTGTGGATGGAAGCTTCTAACAAGCCAAATGAAATGAAACAAATGAAAACTGTGAGAAAAAGAAAGCTGGGAAACAAACTGGTAACGTGAAGGCTATGGCACGTGAGATGGACATGAAGACCAAGCAGACCACTCAAGGGAGAGGAGAAAGGGGCCTGGCCCCTCACCACCTGAGGAAAGCTAGTCCTGCCTCCTGAGGCTGAGGTGGTCTGGTCGCTTGGTGAGAGCAACTCCATGTGAATTAACATAAAGGATGACACAAAGGAAAAAGAAGCATTGCAAATTAAAAAAAAATACATGTAGCATGTGCCTACCATTTTCCAGATAAGAAGGGGCCGTACCTTCTGACGGGTCTAGGCGGCGGGCCCGCCTCCCGTGTTTGGAATTGTTGTGCACAAACATGTTGTCAGACACAGCCAGCACGTGGCCGTCCACGTTGACTGTTGTCGATACAACGACCTGTGAAGACGAAGTGAATTTGAAAATGGAGTTGGCACAGGAAAGCACAGGCAGGCCCCGTGTGAACGAGATAAAAGCCAGCTCAGAGGCTGCGCTGAAGAGACTGCACTCATTCTGGAAACTCTCCACTAACTGAACTGCATTCACAGCTCTTTTTTTTTTTTTTTTTTTTTTTTTTTTGGGCTAATGGGGGTGGGTTGTTTTGTTTTGTTTTGACTCAATAGTGCTTCTTTTCAAAAAAAAAAAAAAAACCTGCTCCACTAATTAGGGTTTAATCTCTTATTATGCTAACAAGTGGATTCAATTCAGAGAAATATTCTCCTAGCCATTAGCTTCCGAAATACCCCTCTAGCCACTCATTTGAAAGCCTCTGTTTTGATTGATCTGCTCACATATTGATTAGATAGTTTATCTAATTTAAATTAGTTCATTGGAGGCTAGCCTGTCTTGAAGACATAAGAGGAGGGATTCAGTTGTCCCCCCAAAAAGCTTCATAAAATCAGGGTTCTCTCTGCAACCCCAGCTACCCCTGGGTCAACTGTACAATTACGTTTAGTTTCTGAGAATGAAGTTCTTTGCACCTGAAAAAGAAACAAATTGAATTTGAATTGCGGAAGTTGTTTTTCAATCCAGGAAAAGGAACTTTCTCAAGTTCATAGGGCAGGGTGGCAAGGGCCCAAGAGAGGCTAAGAGAGCATGTCCAGGGAGAGAAAAGGCAGAGCAGACTTCTTGGCTGGTTCATGGGAGGAAAAAATGAAGCCAGCATACAGGGTGTCGTCTCCCCAGTGAGCTCACAGGAAGCGCCTCAGAAATGGCACCCTTCAGCAGATCCAGGCAACACCAGAGGGTGGCCTGGCTGTTACGTTTCTAACACAGCTGGGTCAGTGTGGCACACTGCTTTCCAGGGGACCTGGAAAAGCAAAGGGCTCAGCCTCAGTGTAATGTGGGACTTGAGTCTGGATTTGACAAAAGGTATGTCTGGCTCAGACGCTCCCAGAGCCTCACCTGGCCAGGTCCTGTGGTAGCTCCTCCTGAGAACACCAACTAGGAGAGGAGGAGTTGAGACTGCCAGATAAATTGAAGGTGACAAGCTAACGAAAGCTACCAAGGCTACAGCAAGCCTTGGTGAGTAATAACTAGTACTACTAGTACTAACTTGTAGTAAGTCTCCTCCGGATACAAAATACATCACACAAAATATGCTTATGACAGGGGAAACTGAGGTGAGGGACCCAGGGCATCAGGAATTCTTAAAAACCACTATAATGGTCTTTTATAAACCCGAAATGGCACCAAGAGAAGGCCTATTAATAAAATAAATAAAACAACTTGACTTTTAACTGGCGAAAGACAAATAAATAGTATTTTGTCAGACACAGTGGTACATGCCTATAATCCTAGCACTTAGGAGGCTAAAGCAGGAAAATAATAAGTTCAGGGCCAGCCTTGGCTACACAGCCAGACTCTGTGTCAAAGAAACTCATAAAAACAAGTAAACAAAAATGTATTTTAGGTTTAAAAAAGAATGCAAAGCTATAAGCTTATATAAAAATATGTGTGTAAAGAACTGACTTTTAAAACCTCAAACCCCAAAAGAGTATGGTATTATACACACTCTCAGCTACAGGGGGGCAGTGTTCTTGAGTTCCTTCCCTCTTTATGCCTGCCAGGATAACAAGGTCTCAGTAACATCAGACTGTCTAAACTGAGAATACAGTCAGTACTGCCATGGTGGCCACTCTAGTTTCAGGGTTAAGCACCCTCTGTTTTGAAGATCTGGCATTTCCTTGGGTGCCCCTGGTGCCACTATGGTGTCACCTATAGTCTAGCAATCTCTGCCCCGGGGGGGGGGGGGAAGCAAGGGCTGCTCCTGTTTGCCGAGATCTTCCCAGCCTCCACCTATATACCCTGCCCTGAGCATTCAAAGAACTTCCAGGAATGCATGGCCCGAGAATGGTACAGAGACCTGACCAGTATCAAGGCATAGACACGACTAGGATATGCTAAAAAGACATAGGAAAAGGTAAAAAATAAAAATGTTTAAAGACACTGTCTGTGCTCTGTAATCTATACGAAAACCAGTCAGGAGGGGAAAGAGAGAAAACAGACACTGTATTGTCAGGTATGGGCCAGCCCTGCAATGCACCCATAAAAAGATACAGAAAGGGTGGCACCATTGCAAGCATCAAGTATGCCATGATATGCAGAAGTCCAGGTAAACCTTCTGAGAGGCAAGGAGACTAAAGCTACCAGAGTCACTATGGTGATCTCATCTGGTGAGATCAACTGTGATGGATGCCATTCTCCATCACTGATGAGACAAACAGGGCCCTACTATTCAGTCTGGCGTGGGCTCCTCTGCCTAGATGAACCAAGTTTGCTCATGCCTTGTGGTCTCTTGTGTATTTAAAAAAAAAAAAAAAAAGGAAGCTGGCCCAGTACTTTACAAGAGGTGCTATTCCCAGCCATGAAAGCCAGTACGGGTGAGGAGGGACCTGCCTCCCTGAAGAGCCATAAAGGCAAAAGATGGACATCATATACTTAGCTGAAGAACACGCAGAATCCTACAAACAGTGTTACATGACCAACAAAGGTGACATCCCAAATAAGATTCCCTCAGCAATGTAGCTAATCTAGGATTCATTTCCATTTGGTACTTGGCTCTTCTCATTTTACAATGAAAATCAGCAAGACAGTCTATCTCATACATAGAGGGCCCAACAGAGTCTTCTGATCATCCATAAGGATGAGAAAACTATGGATGCTGTCAGAACTTGAAGCCAACAAGCAATCCTCTCGCTTGCAGACCAAATCCTCATTGCAAATGGGCATGTGCTAACTTAGATCCAGAACAGACTAGTAGTAGCTGGTTTCTGAATGGACCTTGGAGGGTAGGGGAATTTGTAGAGGCCTGTGCTAAGCAGGGGCAGGCCCTTTATGAGGAGGCTCCAGACACCAAGATCCTAGAGAGTTTACATTATGGTTCTTTTCCCACTTGCCATCCCCATGCACAACGACAATCAGTCAACTGGCCATTTGATCCCTAAAAATGTGTGTCTTCAGCCTGGACAAGCTTTCAGAGCTGGTATCAGGCTGTGGGAAACGTGATCATCTTGTCTTCTCTGTCCCTGCACAGACTCATATATCTGGCATACTGAAAAGACTCGATCATTGAAAAAGCATTTTATTTGTCTATTTCTAAATTATTTATTTAATTTTATGTGTAGATGGACCACGGGAGTGCAGATGCCCTTGGAGGGCAGAAGAGATGTCTGATGCCATGGAACTGGAGTTAGAGATCTGTGTAGATATTGAAAACTGAACCCAAGTGCAGTGAGCATTCTCAACCACTGAGCCATCTCTCCAGCCCCTCATTTGCCTATTTTTATCAAACAAATCAAGTTTAGTGTGTTGCTAGCCTTGGGGAACTAACAAGCTTTCTGAACAGTCGAGAACTCTGTCAAATTGGCAGAACAAGCAGGTTGAACCAGCGCCTTGGAGCGATTGCATACCTGGAATCTCCGCATGTCCCGAGGGTTGCCTGCATTCTTCAAGCAGTTCTGATTGCACTTGAGGAAGAACTTTAGAAAGAATCTACAAAAACACAAAGAATGGATAGTTATGGGTAGCCTGCAAAAGACAACTTCACAAAAAACACTTGCACAGAAATATCAGAAGGTACCCCACAACCTGCTGGCTGTCCTGTAGGGGGCGATGCTGAGTGCCGCTGTGGAACTGGCAGACAGACAGAGGTTCCTGGTCTCCCTTCTGAGTGGCAATTTGCACAGATGTCTGACACTACAGATTCCCAAGATTTATAATAACTGTGTATTTCCAAGGAATCTCATCTTGCAAGGATCTCTGCATTAACTATTAGCCTTTAGAGAGACACCCACCCCAGACAAGGACACGGACATATCTGCCAGGTAAGATGCAGAATGACTAGTAAAATTTGAATTTTGGATAAGCAACAATTTTTTTTAGCATAGGGGTGTCTTGAGGTAAATCTATGTAAAAATATCAAAGTTTAAATTCTATTGAATGTACTACATTTATCTGGAAACCCCAGTTTCCAGCTTTTATCTTGGTAAAGCAAATGCATTGTCTAAGACCAAGTTCTTAAAGCTACAGTAAGGGTGTGGGAACACTCAGAATGCATTATATACAAGTATAAAATTGTCAAAGAATACACTTAATTAAATAAAAAAAAGAAAAATAACTACAATAGGCTTAACCCTCAACAAGGGAATGGGGTGTGGGGTTGCCATGATTTCTGTGGACAGTTTCTATGTGTTTTTAATGGACTAGCTGGTAGGTGTTGGTGTTTTCACAAAAAGTCTTGCTCAGACAGAATATAGGAGCAACAGGCCCCAGCCCAGGAAGAAGTGAAGAGGCCAAGCAAGGAGGTCAGCTCCACCTCCCATCAGACCTGGCCTTGTATGCAGGGGAAAGATTCAGGAGTCCTGACATTGTGTTGAGAGGTTTCAATGAGAACGTAATCTCCTAGTCTTCCCCATTCCTGCACAAACAGATGCTCTGTCTTAGTATGAACAGGTGAACACCAGGCAGCCTGGATATGAGACACCCGCTCATGAATCTTGTCCCTGCAGACCTCCGTGGCAAAGGCCACATCCACAGTGAGTGGAAGGTGGATTCGCCGCTATGGCTAAGAGCTTTGCAGCAAGGTTACATAAAATACCTACTCTGTTTTCACCCCAAATGTCACCTGTCTTATTTGGAAGTGATTGATGTTTTATGTTACTTCATAAAATTTCCTTGAATCCAGTCTTTCATGTTTGGGCTCTTCATTAGGGATTACAATAGGAGAAAACAAAAGACTCCACGGAGTAAGACTTGCCTTCCCAACACATCCTGGAAGACCCAAGGAGGGCAGAAGAGAATCCCTTTGATGAGGCTAAGAACGGTGGCCATTCAATTAAATTTTCTTACATACCATGAGTCCTTGCTACTTTGGGCCAGGGTTTACATCTTTTATTAAGTCGCCTCACCTGTACACTTAGCTCACAAGGCCTCTTAACACCATCTGCCATCAGCTAGAGCAAGTCACTTGATATTCCACCCACCAATTTTTCCTAACAACCACTGTGCAATTAAACTCCACACGTTCTGCAGCGAGGTAAATTAGGCGCACCTGCGGCCACACTGCATTTGAACTGCATCAGAAAGGGCCTAACAAGGTGAGGGCGCCACAAAGTTATCGTCCTGTCAGGCAATTAGGTTTTCACTTCAGGGACAGCCACACGGTGCAATTATGCCCCACATTACCACCCGGCTAATCTTCTGAACAGGCGCCGGTGAGAAGCTGCTCATCCGCAAAGGTACCTACGAGGAGCTGGTGTTGGGGGCTTTTGCTTTTTTTTTTTTTTTTGTAAAATGAAAGATTTCTCCCCCTCCTGAGGAGGTTGTTCTAAATTCCTTGATGTCTGTTTAGCCAGCTTGGCCCTCTTACCTCCGAGACAGCAGAGTGGGTTTTAAAGATATCCTAAGCAGCCGTGGGCATCGCAGGGCTTTAACTATCATCAGTTTAGAAACTAGAAGAGTAAAACTCGGTGCTGGATACCACAAGCACACTGAGCCCTGTGGGGGGCAGCGGAAGCAGAGGCGGGCACAGACATCATGTACACATGTTCATGTGTGTTCTCTCTCTTGCACATGGCAATCACAGCTCTTCTTGTATGCAGAGTGTGTCACGACAGTGGCCGTGGGCAAGTGAGAAAGATCTACTGGGAACAACCCCTATGTGGAACAGGGTCCTTCCCAAGCTCCACCTTGCTAGGCCGGAGGGAAATCTCTGCACACAAGAAGTGCTTATTTTACCCCTGTTTTTGCTTCTGTTTAATTCTAGGGTGCAATTAAGGATTCATAGATGGGAAATGCAGCCAAGGCAAGGCAAGTATGCTGACACTGTGCACTGTTGCGTGGGAGCGGACGCGCTCCATGAGGTGCGCTGTTGCAATGTTTGGGAAGAGGTGAGAAGACTGAATGCCCACGCATGGAGTCCAGTGGCAATTCCCACATCCTTTACTCAATTACCCTTTAATTGGCTGTTTCCTAAGAAATATCTGACAACCACTTTACATATCTCACTTCCAGAGTCTGGTACACAAAGGATTTAATACTCCTGTTATGAGAGGAAAAAATCCTTCCTATGTCAGAAAATCTTTGGCTTTAGCACCAATAAACTCTTTACTATTGCTAAATGTGGATTTGCTGCTCAATCGCAAAGAGGCGATAAAAATTCTAACCTGTCATTAGTACATTATGCTTAATTGTGTACAGTGTGTTTCCCTGGCATCTGCTGGCCCAACGTCAAAATGACCGTTATGTGCACTAATTCCCTGACCCCATCTTTATTTCCCTAAAGACTCATCATCTTTCACAGTAGGTACCAGAGTAAATCAAGCTTGAAATATGGGCTTTATTTACTTGTTTCTTACAGGCAGAGGGGAAGACAGTGGCTAAAGACAAACTGCTCCACACCACACTATCCCAAGAATATTCTGCTTGGAAATATCATGAAAACTTCCAGAAAGTTCTGAGACAGAAAGTAAGATGCCATTTCTGTGGAAATAGACTTTCCTCGGTGTTGCACAGATTAGGACAGACACCATGATGCTATTCTCCTTCATTCTTTGGAGGGCTGGCTCACTCTTCTAATGCTGGAGACCCTTGTGATGGTGGGTAGGGAACATGAGGACACAGCAAAGCCTTCGCCTGGAAGGACAGTAGCTTTGAGCTTAAGTTGGAAATTTCTTCCTGATGGTACACTCATCCTCCTTCTGTAGAAGGGTGTGGCCATGGCACCCAATGAGGAGAGCTCAGAGTGATGTTGCTGTGGCAGAGACCCAACAAACAACTCCAATGTTAGCATGAGTACAGGAACGTAGGGGAATGAGACTGCTTCAGGAGAGGCTAGAGCGAGTAACGTGACCTACCGTTTCCACCAGAGCCCAACATGGGTATCCCAGGATAAGGGGTGAATAGAGCCCCTGCCACAGTAACTAATTTCAAAGTCAGCTCCATCTCTGTGTGTTTAAGCTATGAATTAGTTCATTTATATTTACTTTTATGAAGCTGATTAACTGAAGCTTCTTTATCTGATGAAAATCATTTTAATTGTAGTGTTAGGCTCCTGTGTAATATCCATTACATTATGAACTGTTTAAATTCTACATGGGTATTGTGTAAATTGGCCCTTTGTGAGCTAGCAGGCAATTAGGACCAAACAGCTCTCCTTTAAACGGCTACAGAACTTTGTGGTGGTGTTCAGGACAATCAGAGACAAAGGAGGCTGTTTAATTGTAATTTAATGGAATATCAAGGAGTCCGTGGCATTAGACGCTGGCAACAGAGAGCAGGAGAGAAAAATTAACTGCAATTATGTTTGATTAAAGCTATCCTTCTCAATAATCAGCAGTCCTGACAGGCCATGGGGCTCTAGTGGGCTCCAGGATGGCAAAAGGTGTTGAGCAATATTAGGGCCAATAAAGGGGATATTAGCATAGCTAATTACAGCCCTGCAAAACCTGTAAAGGGGGCCTCTGTGTATTGTAATGTGGGAAATAATTGGCCAAGGCCGTTATCAATTACATAAGGAATGAATTTGGTTTGTCAGAGAAAAGCTGATGAGATGCCTCTCATCTGACACCAACCCTTCCTTCAGTTTCCAGGCGGCTCTGAACTCACCCACGTCCATCAAGAGCCCAGCTACCAGTGGCCAAGTCACTGATAAAATCGGCCTGCCAGCAAGGGTTAGGTAATTAATACCACTCACCTCCCTCCTCCCCCCCAACCCCCAACACTGATGCTCTAACCCAACTGAAGCCACTAATCATGCAGTAATGATTTCTTTCCCTCTAGTCAAAGGAAAAATAGATCAGCTCTGTAGAAATGTGGCGGGCTTTGAGGGTGTACTCTGGTGACTGAGGGGGACAGGGAAACTTGGAAACGGTCTCACTGTGAGCTCCTTCAAGCACACGTGACTATGGTTCATTTGAAGGTTTCAGGTCCTCTGAAGCTCTGAAGTCCCCTATGGGGACTTTTATTTAGTTAGTTATGGGGACTTTCATTTAGTTAGTTTTGGAGCTGTCAAGGAATAGACTGTTCCAGAGGAGTTTGAAAATGTGAGCAACAGAGTGTTGGACGGCTTCACCCCAAACATCCCTGTGAAAGACATGTGCCCAAGCTGAGCGTTTCAAAGCGCTCTGGCCTCTCGGAGGTTAAGTAGCCAAACTCAGAGAAAAGAGCTCTGGCTTCTCAGGATCCCTCCTCAGCCTGGTTCCAGCCTGTCACTAGAGGCACAACCTTCTAGCCCATGCCAATGTGCAGCCTGGGAAACTGGAGGCCAGAAGGAAAAACATAGGGTGCTTTTGCGTGGGGTGGAGTGGTTCACTCTTAGCTGTGAGTCTGAACCTTTAATGAGGGTGATGATGGGTAGGGCTCCAGTCCATCACCCAGAATCCCAGAGTAGCCCTGTGTAGGTCAGGCTGTAACGACACTGTATGGGCTCCAGGGAGGGGCACACCCAGCGGTTGCAGATAGGTCCCCACAACTTTAGTTACTGCTAATCCATAATAGCCTGAGAGAGAATAAACGGGTAGTGCTGACAACCCCACCAGAGGGGACAGACATTGTGGTGCCAGGTGCTGGGGTGGGGAGGATGAGGGACAACTGCTTCCGGGTTACAAAGTTTCCTCTTGGGGTGAAGAAAGCTTTCTAAGCTAGAGAGGGGGACTGGCCCTGAAACCTACTGAGTGTGCCAAGCGCTACTGAACTGTTCACGTCCCAAATGGTTAATACCGTATTCTGCCAATTTCACTCTACAAGTCCCTGCCCCGAAGGAGAACCGGCATGAGAGGGGCGGTGCCGAGGCCTCTTAGATATAGGCGGCTGTGACCCTTACCTACTATTGACATGAAATAGTTAAGAGTCAAATGAAAAGATAGAGCCTTTAAGAGACTTTCCCCTGACTGATCAGAGAGTGGCCAAGTGATCCTTGAGGTTCCTGCTAATTGCTGGCAAGTCCCTGAAAGCAGTGGTCGCAGCTGTGGAGTGTGCACGCCGGGCCATCAGTCGCTGGAGTATTGACTACTGAGCAATTCTAGCCGATCGGGTCCAGGCGCTTCAGAGACAATGTGCCTCCTTCACAAAACCTGTAATGAGCAGTTCCTATACACGACTACATTCTGCTGACATCAGATCTGTGCACTGAGATAGTACACAGGTCAATACATATCGGATTTCCAAAATGCGAGGGTCTTAATGTCAGGCCTCTTTTTTTTCCCTCTCACTCCTGCCATTAGCGATGACTGGGCTCATGTTCTTTAATGCCATACGGGAGGAAAATTCTGCTCCATTAGTCTGATTTATTCTTCAAATATGCCATGACAAATTGCCTTAACACCAGACTTATTAAATTCTTGTACATTTCAAGTTATGGGTCTCATAGACCTGTAGTGGCTCTGTGACGTCATCAGGAAGGGGCCAGAGGGTGACCGCACTGAGTTTTATGGCGCTGACATATATGCTTTGTTGGGGGACACCCTCCCCTAGTTTTCAAGCCAGAGGTAGAGGTGGCCTGACCGCCTGCCAGGGAGGACCTGGTGTCCACAGGATTTGTTCCCCCATCCCCCAGCGAGCACAGTCCTCTATGTAAATGCAGATAGAAGAGGATTGGGGAATATCCATGGCTTGACTTGCAGTTCAACAATTACTGGCCTTTGTCTGGGGATTCTGGCTCTGGTGTAGCAGAGCCCGTCTCTGGTGGACTCAAGCTATTTTACTTCCCTTCGCTGTAGTAACCACACCGCATTAACAATATTTGTACTACAATCGCCAAGGGACCCACTTCCCAGATTCTATCACTTCTTTATCTCCTGACAAATACCTCACTATCGAACATTATTAGGTTTAGAAAATTAACCCTTCGCGCTCTACAGCCAGAACAGGCCCCACTGTCCCTCCAAAGAGCCTTATCGCGAAATTTCTGCTATAATGGTTTTTCTGTTCATCACAATTTCAACTGCAGCTGTCAAGAGGCACTTACAGATACTGTGATCTTGTACTTTTGTGATGATTCTCATTAAAATGATGCCAAAGAGATCTGATGGGATTTAATGGTTTTGCCGGCCAGCTCGATACCCACTTCCACGGCAGACCTGCGCCATGTGCTCAGTGCAGGGGAATCTGTAAGACTTGCATTAAACTTTTCCGGGTGGTTTTAATGTGTTCAGATAAGTACAACCCAGGCAACACTCTAAAAGTGAACGTAGCCAGACTTGCAGGCTTCACCCGTGCCCTCCTCCGGCTGGCTGTCGACATTCTAGTTAGTGTTTTCTCTAACAGTCCCTGATATTTTGTGATAGTTTTGATAAGGTTATCTGTTTAAAAGAAGTCAACTGCAGAACACAAAAGAAACGTGAAGTGCAGTGTATTTACAGAGGAGGCTCTTGTTTCAAGTACCTATCTCCCATTCCCCCTTTACCTATTTCTCTATTTCTAATGGGCAAAGCGCATTGACATTATTTCCCCAGCAGATCACTAGCCCTGTCAATCAGTCTGTATTTTGTCTTGCGCTGTGGGCTCATTAAAACAGCTTCTTCTCTCCCTCTGGACACTGCTCTATTTGCCAGCTCTGATCACGAAGCTCCTTATTTAAGAAAAATGCCAGCATCACTTGGCTCACATCAGATACACCCCTGACTTGTTGCCAGCTCCAGGGGAGACTTTTGCAGGTTGAACAGAGATGAGGCAGCCCTGCTTGGGGCTGCAGGCCTCTCTCTACTGTCCATGGGTGTGTATAGGAAATCTGGAATCAAGGCCACCTTTATCTGGACATCCTGATTCCCACTTCCCTACAAAGCTGGTATGAGGCTGGGTTTGGGTTTGTTGTTTGTTTTTATTTTTTTTCCCCAGCCTTCAAGTGGAAAAGATCTTTTTCATCTTTTCCTGCTTGATGTACATTTATTTCCTTCCATCCACATCAGCTTGCTTAATTAAGAACTATCCTCTTTGTAGGCTGAATTATTAATAAAAAAATCACATTTTAAATCAAGCCTGTGCATGCACAGAGGATGTCAGTGTCGAACCTGCCTATGCTGGCTCTCTAGCCTTTTAGGTCCTGATTAAAAACTTATTAAAACATTATAAATGATTAATGGGAGCACAGCTCTGAGTGGCAATTATTAGTTTTAATGCAGGT